CTAGGTGAGTGAGACACGCCCCCCAGGGCTGGCCTCGGGCTCTCGCTGTATCTTCGCCAGGTCATCCGCCAGTTGGAGAACAACATCGAGAAGACAACCATCAAGATCACCACGAGCCAGAACATCCACCTGCTGTACTTGGGGCTGCTGGATTACCTGAAGAAAGTGAGCCCCGCCCCGGGGGCAGGGCCGGGATCTCCGCTGGGACGGGAACCGGAGGAGCTGGTCAGGGCAGCCTGTTCCTCGAGCCCTGAATCTCTGACCCCGAACCCATGTCCAGCGAGCCCCTCTGGCCCAGTCCTCGGGGCGCTCAGTCTGCGGTGTAGGTGTGGGGGGCGGGCACAGGCTACCCTGTGGGGCCACAGATAAGGGGGAGGCCAAGGGAGGTGCCATCCGGTCTGTGCCCACCTGCCCTGCCCTCAGGAGCTGTCAGGATACCCCACCCAGCTGGACAAGCTGCAGAACCTGATGGCTGACTACTGCTCGGAGCTGTCGGACATGACAGTCATGTCCCAAGATGCCATGATGATTACGGATGAGGTCAAGGTGAGCGCAGGCCCTTGGCTGGGGCCCTGCAGGGCTCTGTGCACACCTGTCTGGCCCAGGCCTCCTCAGGACACCTCCGTGCCTCACCACCTGCAACTGCCAAAGTCCAGACCGCCCACCCCAGCTGCTCGGCTCACACTGTGGCCCTGGAGAGAGGGAGCCCCCTCGTCAGGAAGCCGTGGGGTTGACAGAGGAGAGAGAGACCTGGCTTGGGCTGGGCAGGGCCACCCACCCGCCCAGCCTGTGCCGAGGCCCCCTCAAAGCCGTCCTCGGGAAGGGGCACGTGAGGAGGTGGCCACTCATGCAGTCGTCCGTGTCACGCAGGCTCTGGCCAGCACAGCAGAGACCTGGGTGCTGGGGGCTGCTGGCTGCTGGGGGCCCGCAGGACGCACAGGAGCTGGAGCGAAGCTCAGAGGAGCGGGCGGAGAACAGTGGCGGCTGTGGGTGGCTGGGGCTCAGGGGTCGGTTCCCCCTCCCCCACCTACCCTGGAGCCCGTCCCCCTAACCTAGAGCCCTGGGAGGAAGCAGGCCAGACGGGACCCCATTTGTGTTTCTTTTTTTTTTTTGTAAATATATTTTATTGAGTTTTTACAGAGAGGAAACGAGAGAGATAGAGAGTTAGAAACATCGATGAGAGAGAAACATCGACTAGCTGCCTCCTGCACACTCCCCACTGGGGATGCGCCCGCAACCCAGGCACATGCCCCATTTGTGTTTCCAAACAGCTGTGTTCTGGCTACAGAGACCAGAGGAGCCCAGAGGCTGGTCACTGGGGCCAGACCCATGGCAGAGTTGGGGGGGGACCCAGAGGGCTGAGAAGCCTTGGAGTGGTCACCTGAGGAGGGGGCACTGAGTTAGATGTGAAAGGGAGCAGCCCCCAGAATGCACAGCCACGGAGCAGGACAGGAAGAGGCCAGGTTTGGGCGAAGATGAAGAGTTGGTTTAGACACTTCAGTGAGTTCGGAGGGGGGCTGGGCAGAAGGCTGTGGAGGGCCGGTGCCATGCCTGTGGCCGGGGGACTGGGGGTCGAGGAGCGCAGTGCAGGGAAGGAAGCCAAATGGTAAAAGTGCTGGGCACCGTGTTGCAGGAAGAAGGCCTGGCCGACAGCCTTGATGGCTGTTCTCAAATCTAGGAACTCAGGGGAAGTGACCACGGGAGTTAGCACGGGGGAGGCCTCCCTGGGACGGACCCCACCGCCTGCCTGTGTCCCTAGATGAACTTGCGGCAGAAGGAGGCGACCTTCATCGAGGAGCGCCGGGCCCGGGAGAACAGGCTGAACCAGCAGAAGAAGATGATCGACAAGATCCACACCAAGGAGACCAGCGAGAAGTACCGCCGGGTGAGCGCCCACAGCCGGTGCAGCCTGGGGAGGGGGGCTCCCCTCTGTGGAGGATGCTGCTCACCTCACCCCACCCCGTCCATCAGGGCCGAAGGGACTTGGACTTCCCCACCAATCTGATGAGTGCGGAGAGCCTGAAAGGTGAGAGCTCTGCTCCCCACCTGCCCCAACCCGGACCTGAGAGGCCAGCACTGGCTGGAGCCACCCCGACAGGTCACCGTGAGGCCCCGAGGGAGGGAGGGGCGTGCCCCTGCCCCCCCCACCCCTGGTCGTACCTGCAGAGCTGGGCGCCTGTGGCCACCAGCTCCAAGGCCACCAGCTTTGGGCTCATGGCCAATTACTGAAACTTTGGCTTCTTAGCTGCAAACCCCACAGGCACCCCAGGGCCTGGTCACCCACTGACTCCTCAGAAGAGACAGCTCGGGTCCTCTGAGCTGCCTCTGAGCAGCCCCACCAAGCCCCACCGAGCCAGGCTCCGTGGTCCCCCTCAGGAGGCAATGCCCAGAGGCACCCTTGAAGGGCCGGTTTGCCTGGAAGCAGGGTTAGGTGCAAGCACCTATGACAGGGACCCAGCTCTTGGGGGGCCCGCCCTGCTGAGAGGGCAGGCGCCGAGGCCTCTGTTCCCCCTCCCCCCTGCGCGCTGGCCATCCTCCCCTCTGCTCTGCTCAGTGAGGAAAAAGGAGGCCTCCCAGGCCGAGGTCGAATACCAGACGAATCTGACTGCTTTGCTGGAGAAAATCAAGACTGCTGTGCGGTGCTCCCACCTCTGGGTACTGCCCCCGGGCACTCCTGGGGTGTGAGGGAAGGGGTGGGGGGGGCTCCACCCTGACTGGGCCGGGCTCTGCGGGCACCTTCCGGGATGAATGAATACACAACGCTGTGGCCTCGACAGTTCAGAGTAGAGGCCCCTCCCGGGACACAGCTGCCCATCCCAGCTTGTTCCAGGGGATGAGAGAACCACAGGATCTGAGGACCCAAAGGCCTCGGCTAAGGGGTGGCCTACACCTCCACCCCCATCCCCTTCCCAAGCTGACGGCGTTAGAACGAGCAGCTGCCTCTCCACCTGTCCCCCCTTATTTTAATCCGATCTGGGTTTATTCTTAGGAAGCCTCGAGCTCCCGTCCTCGGCCCTGACCGAAGCTTGTCCACCCTTGCACAGGCGCCCTGCGGCCGTGCAGTCTCCCAGTGGTGGTCTCCGGTCTGTCCTCTGCTTGTTGTGGGGGTGACGTGCAATGACACACACAAAGCACTTCACCCGACGGACGGATGGCCCCCCACAAGCTCTCAGGGCTCGGCTGCCATGGACCTCATTCCTGACCCCGGGGAGGGGCAGGTCTGTGGGCCCTGCCCGGCTGGCCCACACCTGCTTCTCCCTCCTGGCACGGCCAGGACATCACAGGCCAGTTCCTGGCTCAGAGGAACACGGAGGACAACCTGCAGCTGCAGATGATGGAGTGTGAGGAGAGGCGGACGCAGCTGGGGGCCTTGATGAGGAAGCTGGAGATGGAGGAGGCGCTGCTGAAGTTCCACCAGACGTCCAGCTCCGACAGGTACCCGGGGGCCCTGCCCTCCCTCTGTCCAGGCTGCCCGCCCCCCAGGCTGGGCCAGGGCCAGGCTCTGAGCCCAGGGTGTCCACTGCCAGCCAGCCTGCTCGTGCGTGCTCTGCAGCGGAGCCGGGGACCCCCACGCCCACATCGCAGCTCTTGAACCCCTGAATCCAGCACAGCACCCAACTCCGCCCTCAGGTCACCCAACTCCTCCCCATCGTACTCGACAGCTCCGAGTCCGTCCAGCAGAAAATGCAGGACCGGCTGAAGGAGGAGCAAGAGAGGCTGCAGCTGGCCCACACGAACATGACCAAGAGCCAAAAGCTGCTGCTCACCCTGCAGATGGGCATCGACAACCTGTACCTCCGGCTGGTCGGCATCGCTCTGCCCACGGCCCAGGTACCGGCCCGCGTGGGGGAGAGCTGCTGCGCAGTGAGCTTGGGGAGACCGGAGCGGGGCTGAGCCCGTCCTTGCGGTCTGCAGAGGACGGCCACCCCCGACAGCCTGGACGGCCTGGACTTGCACAGCAAGCTGGCGTACTGCGAGAGGAAGCTCCTGCACCTGGTTGACAAACTGCAGGCGCTGTCCACTACTGAGGAGGTAAGGCAGGGGCAGGGGCAGAGAAGCCTCCCATACCGTGCCCCTCAGGGCTGACCGCCCCCGTGCCCTGCAGGACAACACGAAGGTGAGGGACGCCCTGGAGTCCTCGACTCTGAAGGAGAAGCAGAACACGAGGATCACCTTCGAGGAGCTGGAGGACGACATGATAGGTACAGGCCGGGGGGCTGGGGGCCAGGGTGTGGGGCGATGGCTGGGCTGAGCTGTGCAGGGGCAGAGGGTGGGTGTGCTGCTCGCTCCACCTGCCCAGGAGGGACAGGGATGGAGGGTGTGCCCCGGACTTGGTGAGGAGATGGGAGAGGCTAGCCATGTCCTGACGCTCATCAGCAGGCAGAAAGGAGCAAGGGGGAGCCCCGGGCAGAGAGAGCCCTTATCGGGGTTTCTGAGGGAAAGGCGGGGTCAGCAGCTGAAGGGCAGCTCCTCCGAGTGACTCCCGTGGGCAGGGGACTGGGGCTGAGCCGTGGCGCTGGCCCTGGGCTGAGCTGTGCCGGGGATGTTGGGGTGAGACTTAGATCCGGGAGGGAGGGCTGTGCAATGGTCGTTGTGCAAGAAGACACGCCCGGGGGCGCGGTCTCTCCCGGTCCGTAAGGGCCCAAAGGCCAGAGCATCCGGGACGGAGTCGTGTGGTCCACGCCCGCCCGGCGATGAATGAAGGCGGAGGCCAGCCCAGGGCTGACCCGGCTCCCGCCTCTCCCCCCAGAAACCTTCCACTTCGCCGACGTGGACCATAGCTACGTGCCCTCGCGGGCCGAGATCAAGAAGCAGTCCCAGCGCGTGATCGAGGAGAAGTTCAAGACGGCCAAGAAGAATAAAAAGTGACCCGGGGGCCCTGCGCCC